TTTCGGCTGCCATTTTGGGTGAACATTAGGAGAAAGACGGAAAAGGTTGAAAGTAGGATCGAAGAGAAAATTGAAAAGTTCAGTAGACTAACGATACAGAGAAATTGAGCAGATGCAGGAACGCCACTGTTTACGCCAGCCAGCCATATCACTCAGTATCTCTAACCATCGGGTACGACCATCCCGAGGTCCTCATCCAGGGAGCCTAACGGGAGCTCTGTGATCAAGACTCCTGGTTAGGGTTTTCATACCTTCGTGCCAGGTCTTAGTTTGACCACTCTAGGTATTATTCCACCCACTACCTGCCTCGGCAAACATCGCACGTCGTGGAAACCTATTTGATGACATACATAACACATGTCCCAACCAACGTAATCTATAGAGGTTGACCACCTGATCCAGTGGGCGACTGCGGTTGCCTAAAACATTTCGCCTGACCTCAGCATTGCTCGTCCGGCTGCCCCACTAGATTCGTGCAATGTTGCGTAGATAGCGATGTTCAAACACCGACAGTATATCTTTATCCTGTTTTCTTAATGGCCAAGTTTCTGTACCGTATAGCAGGACTGGCCGAACTGTCGTGGCATACACTCGACCCTTCACAGATGTCCCAAGTTGGCAAATGTCAACCGAGCCTTCTGTATGCCTGCTGACACTTCATCCGTGATGCGTCCACCGGGTACTGCCCAAATTACGAAACTTATCCACCTGCTCAGTTACTTCACCTGTGAGAGNAACCCAGTCTTTTAGCATTTTACAATTTGAAGGTGCAAAACGCATACCAAACATGGCTACACTAGCACTCAAACTATCCAGAAAAGCTTGCAACTTACCCGAATCTTCACTTAGTAGCACAATGTCGTCTGCATACTCTAGATCAGACAGCCTGCCACCTGGGGGTAAATCGATGCGATTATCCTCGCCCGAGAATAGGGGTTTCCATAATCAGATTTATAACAAAGTTGCATAAAAAAGGGGAGAGAGGGCAACCCTGTCGAACATCACTTTCCGTGGTGAACTCGGGTGAAAAATGTGCCGTAATCTCGGGCTCGGCTTCGGCTATGAGTGTGGAGGGATTGAAATAAGCCTCTCGTGCACACCCTTCAGGCAGCGCCGGAGTTTGGCGAAAAGTGAAGATGTGGTCGATACAACCCCGACCGGGCCTAAAACCAGCCTGGTTCTCACGCGTGCATCGTTCAGGTGCGGCAGACAATTGATGGAGTATATCCCCAGCGAAAAGTTTAGAAGCAATGTTGATTTAACTAATTTCTATGTGGTTTTCACAAGAGGATCTGTCACCTTTCTTGTAAATCGTTATGACCACCGATTCACACCATTTAGTTGGAACCTCTTCCCTCTCCCACAATGAGCCCGGGAGTTTTGTTAATTCCGAAACCAATGCTCAACCTCCATCCTTAAAAACGGATGGGAAGAGCCCGTCTGGGCCGGAGGCCTTATGACTTTTGAGCTAGCTTATTTCCTGGGAAACCTCCATTTCAGATGAAGGACTGTCATCAACTGGCAGTATTTACGCTGTCGCGGTGGAGGGCGATAGTTCAGATGTCGATGGGGCCAGTTGAACTGAGCATCGAAATTTCCAGCCCATCGATCAAGACGGTGTTGCTGATCGTGAATCAGTGTGCCATCGGATTCCTTAATTACTTCACTTACGCATATTTTCCTAGGACCCATATTCCTAATTAGACGGACTATTACCAATAGCCGCAGCCTTCTCTGTCTCTCTACACTTTCCTACCCACCACTTCTCGCGGTCATTCCTCAGACTGTCGATGAGCTGGCGTTTGAGGGATTTGCGTGCTGCGTCATATGCGGTATTGAGAAGAAGGGTTCTGCGGGCGTCCAGCAGGGCAACCGAGGTCGACGAAATCCATCGTTTGTGTTTTGAGCCTGCGCGAGGGTCTGACGTTGGTTTTAATATTTGCATGGCTTCTTTGATTTGCTTTCAGTGTTCATCGTGTCCTTCGGCTGGTGGTTGAACTGATAGGTAATTGGAGAGTTCCATTACGAAGGCTGATTTGCAACAATCGGTGACGATTTATCGTAGTTATCCGTTTTTGGTGGCATTTTGACGGTTGTTTGCCACGCGTAAGGAGCATTTCGCTAGTAGCAGAGCGTGGTCCGTATCCACAGGTTTTCACCGGTAAGAATGGCAGTCTTGAATCGATCCCCTCCAGCAGTAACCAATAGCGATGTGTTCGACTTGGGTCCACTGCTGTGAAGAGGTTCGCGGTTTCTATGTAAGGTGGTGTCACTTCTTGTGCGAGAAGTTCGTGCTTGACAGGAACAATCCATGGTCCGCACAGAGTTGAGATGGACGATCGCCGTTGTCCGTCCGGTTGGCTGGGATTGCATTTGGCTCGCCAAGAAGTGTCCAGGGATCCCACTGGAGCATTGAAGTTTCCGGCGATCACCACGATGTCCGTTGATCGAACACTTTGAAGTAATCGAGAAAGCTCCTTGGAGAATTCATCCTTGATTTCAGGTGCATACACCGACACAACGACCGGGCATCGGCGCTTCGTTCTGCAGCTGTTGACCCGCGCACCGTTGGGACGTACGGTGCACAGTCGGCTGTTAACTGGAATTCATTCGAGAAGGAAGCGTTCAGCTTGACACTTAGCGCAATCCCGACACCAGACGCCGAATCACCTGACACAAAGAGTGAAGCTTGAAGCTGAGGTTGGATCGAGAGAACGAAGATAATAGAAGTGAGGTCCTGTTTGCATGCTTTGGAGACACAGCATACATCTGAATCGAAAGTTTCAAGGGTTCTAGCTGACGCAGCTTGTTGACCGATCTGATAGAGTATGCGGACATTGAACGCAGCTAAGTGAAAAGGGGGTTTCAGCTTTAAAAATCCTGTAACTTCTGATTGTTTGGCCTTGATGGTAAAACGCTGAGTGATATTCGATGGGTTTTGTAAACAACAGGCGTTTGGGATTATTTGAGATTGAGAGGAAGAACTGGACGGATGGGAAAGAGGTTTTTCCAAATGGGTGTCTAAGACTTTACGGCACGACATACTTCGCGGTAGCCCACATCGACGAAAGGGTTTTCTTTGGGAGACCTAACCGGAGCTTCCGACTCAAAAGTCTGACCCACAATGCAGTAGGGCGTAAATCGAACGCGGGAGCGTGAACGGAGCACCTGTATGGGAGCTTCGGGAGACCTTTCACTCAAGGCCTTGGGATTTCGGTTAGGTTTTTGTTCGCTGGTGTGTTGAGTATCTGTCCGCTTTTTGGGATCGGCCATTAGTCTCATGCAACCAATGAAATAAGCGAAACATGGACAAGACATTATCTTATGGGCTGGGGGTTACCCAGTTTGGGTGGGTGGTAGCTGCTCAACGAAGTGCGAAGGTGTCTCCCACTGTCGGGAGGAAGCCCCAAGTACCCCACTCCTACATCCATCTAGCGGGGATTTTTTGACCCGCAACTGTCCCTCACCGTGTTTATTTGCCGGAGTGGCCTCTCCAGGGTTGAGTGTGGATAGATAGAGGCTAGGAGTTGCCAAAGCAGCTGGTCTTGTGAGACTGAGTTTCGTCTGGCCTCTACCTGTTAACCTTCCAGGTATGATTGGATCTGCGGCTGTGAGGAGACATCCTGTGTAGCTCGCATAATCATGGAGGCACGCAAGCCATCGCACCACGTCAAGTTACAGTCTCGTCGTGATGACCGATTGACAAAAGTGGACCACTTTTGTGTTTACACAATGCCACGCGCAATAATATGTGCAAATTTTCGTGCATTTACGCAATGCGTTTGAGCGAAGAAGTGGAGTGCCATACACCCGATAAATCACTATTGTATATAGTAGGTCTCTTATAAAAAGCGCTTCTCGTACAAATGAACTATGCAAACGTTAGCTGGGTTACACTGCTCCAGGATGATGCAAACCGTATAATAATAATAGTATTAATAATAAATTACTATCAAGTTATAATATTGAGATGGACCGTTAATTGATGGAAAGGAATGCCATTATTTATTCATTATATTACTTTTAAATATATTGAGCAATTACCAAACACCCTCACAATCAGCGGGAGCATCATCATTATCATTATTATTATCACCCCTAAATCCACCGTCACCGTAGAACAAAAGATTCTTCTCTCAAGATCCCACCAAACCTATTGTGTCTGAATTTGACGCCAATCTAGATATATATTATCATCTAAATAATAAATTTTATTATCATTATTAATAATAGTGCTAATTTGGGTTTTATATACTCAAGAAAGGGAATCAGGTCGTTCGAGAGAAGTGTAAAACCAATGGGGATAAGAATATAATAACGACCATTATATATTATGAGTTATCAAGCAAACCGTCAGGTCGCGCATGCCTCCGGACTAGGACGCACGTACGCTTGCAACACTCCAGGTAGAGCTGAGCCCGGACTGGATGACTGCAGAACGAGTCAGCCAGCCAGATGGATCAATCAACGTTTCAAGGATGCAACCTGATTAGTGCGTCACTGCGCCGTTCTAGTATGCCTGATTTACCCCATNTCAGCCCACCTATATATATATATATATATATATATATATATATATATATATATATATATAGGTGGGCTGAATCTCAATCATTTAATAAACGCTGATTATTGTCTCCAGTCGTGTTCTGTCTCCGCGAGCAAACCGCGATAAATATATATCTATTTATAGATCTGTGTCATAGACCTATTGTGTAAAATTCATTCTGTTCAGACTCATCAAAAAGTTATCGATCACTTGAGTCATTATTGATTTCAAACAAAATTCACCACAAAACTGTAACGGTGACGGTGGTAAGTTTTTTAAAACCCGAATGTCACTAAAGAGGACGTGAAAACATTAACTCACCTACAACCTAGAACGAATCGGCTGGCGGTATTACTTCTTTAACTTTGGCATTCTTTATTCTCAAAGTTTTCATAGAGTGAAAAATCGAAATGTTTGAATTTCAAGAAGTATCCTATTACGAAACTGTGATTTATTTGTGCAACATCCTACTGAGCTTTCTCAGGAGACGCTTGTTCAACTTACTCAAGACCACTTTCTCCGATATGTCCCAACTGATTTCATCTGCTTCCAGTTGTTTCTCTCGAAATAAATCCATATAAGACGTGTATCGGCAAATGATCGTCCCAGCCACATTTTCCAAGTGTCTACATTTACCACACTCTTCAAAAAATGTCTTCACTCGGGTCAGAAGCAGCTCATATTTGGACTGTGGTGGTTTCGTTTGCGGGGCTGGTTCAATCATAAGCATGCGACGTTCTATTGGAACCGATTTCGCTGCACCCTGAATGCTGGACCGGATTGAGAATGGACATGTTTCATTCACAACGATCGACTGATCACGAAGTGTGGCTAATTGCTTGAGATCAAAGTGACAATACTGTGGGATCACACGGTGCATACACTTTCGTGTATGTCTGTCTTCCAGGCGACAATCTACTTCACGAATATACACAGTGGACAAAATCCCTCCAATGTAATCCACCGGGAAACCGTAAGCGTAGATCAGATTGGGAAAAGCTCGCATACTCCAATACGGTAGGGTTGCATTCAAGCTTGGATTGGTCACGATGCATTGTGTCTGGACAGTGAATGGGATCAGGCTGACAATCAGGTAACGTGCGACCAAGAAACCGTCAAACTGAACTGAATGATCTCCGATGTGAAATTCAGTCATTGGCACCTTCTATGACGGGGATAAAACGGTTTAGTAGACAGCTTATTGCATATTTGGCTTATTGAAAATAAACGAAACATTTGTAATCTAAATCGAACTACTATGAACAAAAAGACGGAAACTGGTTTTGTCTGTGCTATATGATACTATGAATGAGGATAAAAATAAGTGCTTTTTTTATCATCCAAAAAACTGACTTGTACGAGGTAAGTCACAATCCTATTTTACTAGAGAAAATTTTGATAACTGGTATGTTATCAGTATGTGCATAAATTACAACTATTTACAGTAGACAAGACGGGAAATAATAAGTAAAGACTTACTTTGATTGCTTTTGATCCTAAACAAACTGGCAAACACGTTGAGGTGCAGGAATTTTTCACGTGAATGAAGGTCAAATTCGAAATGAACGTATCGATTTTACCTCCGGTCTAGATTACAGCTGTGATAGCATAATGTCCAGCCAACCTATGACTGTAAGGCATTTGAGTAAAAGCGAATGTCTGACCATATTCACTTACATTAACATGTAGCTGTTTTGATACAAAAGCATCAGTGTATATATATATATGTATATATGTATATATATATCTATATATGCATGTATATATATTAAAGACTGGCTCTGAAAGAGCTGTCTATCCAATGGTCACCCGGTGTTGCAAACGAGGATTTTGTGACAAAAATACATATCCGGGGTACAAGTATATGAATGAACTGACAAAAGATTACCGGATACGCATGCCTGACGAGCGGCAAGAAC